GAGCAGCTGCTCACACTACGGGGGAGGGACTCGTAAGACTGGGCTATTCAGGCGGATATGGCGGAGAACCAGTCAGAATTCAGGCTCCATGCTGGGCGTTCGTGGGCAATGGTTGGTGTGTGGCTGGCAGGGGAGATTGGGCTCCCAGGCGGTGCTTCACGGGCTTGGCATATCACAGTGGGCACTGGTAGGGTCAACATTGGGCGTCTGGACTTTGAGACTCTGGCAAACACGAACCCCCGGTCACCCTGTAGTTAGCTGGGAACTCCGTACCACATTAACCTTCACCCATCTAACACCGTGAGACGATAACACTTGTATGCAGACATCCAGCATCATACCAACCACAGCGCCTATACCAGTCAACAGTCTATACACTGACCTCGGTGCTGCATTGCTAGTTCCCTTCTTCCTGTTCCAAATCCAATCTCTCCTCGCAGACGTCCAATCACACATCCCAACCAAGCAACAAACCTCGACCGAGATATGACCTCCGATCATCGTATTCCCTCTACGCACCGGTGACCTACGACCAATGCTCCCATCCGTCGTCCCCTCGTAGGTCTCTTTTCGACTTCGTGAGACTGAGATGCCATCTGTGGCATCTGAAGCCCCTCTGTCCGTTGTCTCCAACAGCGTCCATTCGAATTCTTCGTCGTTGGAAGGCCCTCCGAGAAAGTCCCACGACAAGACGATCAGCGGCGTCTTTACCTACACAAACGGGACCGATGTCGAGGCCGGATTGTCTGATCACAGACTGGATCAACTCAAGAGCCTGCGCAACAATACCAGTCACAGCTCCTTAACAAAGGGTATCCCCAATGGCAACGTCAAGGCGCCCTTACGGGATCGCACGCAATCCAAGGCCGGCAGCACCAATTCGGCCGCGAGCACGAATGCCGCAAAGTACACTGAACAACTTTCGAGAAGCCCGGCTTCGTCAGAAGGACCACTGACCAAGTTGTCTAGCGTCGAGAATGTGGGAGAACAATATGACGACCATAGTAATGGCATCCATGAACAATCGCCCTGGCCGCAGTCGACACCGGAGTTGGGTAAATTGAAAACGAACATCCCTCCGACAAAGCCGGAGTACGATCCCTACCACATGGTTACCGCCTCTACTGTCCCAGATTCTGCACGATTAGATGGAGAGACGACCTCCGGTGGCCTCTCTCGTGCTCCTGCACCCGCCCTTGCTCGTTTCTCCTCCCCGCCTGCTATGTCCCCGGGTGCTTCAATACAAGATCGATACTCCGAATCGTCATTGAACCCCGAGCCCCCGAAACTAACACACCGTCACACCCTACAAGTTCCGAAAGCAGGCGGCATTGGCGCAGTCGGCCGGAGCTCGCGCGACTTCTCCTTCGCAGGCGGCCCCTCCGAAGAAGCGCTCTCCACCACCACTGGTCGCTTCTCCCCTACACGAGAACAGCACGATGGAACTGTGGTGAGGAATAGACGAGCGTCACTTGGCTTGGTTCGTAGGACAACTCGGTCCATGCAATCAGATGCCCATCTAGACGAAGTTCCTCCCGATGAAGATGCAGCACGTTGGACGGAGCTCATCAAGCAGAAACGTGCGAGCAGACGCAAAAGAAAAGAGGACGAGGATGACGACCGCGTCATTGTTGGCAAAAAGGTTGAGGAGGGCCACGTCAATTGGGTTACTGCCTACAATATGTTGACCGGAATTCGATTTACTGTGTCGAGAACGAATGCAAAGATGGACCGGGAACTGACGGATGCCGACTTTGACGCAAAACACAAGTTCAGCTTCGATATCACCGGAAATGAACTGACACCCAGCGCCAAATATGACTTCAAGTTCAAGGATTACAGCCCCTGGGTCTTTCGGCACCTCAGAGCCATCTTTGGGCTTGATCCGGCCGACTACTTGGTCAGTCTCACCAGCAAGTATATCCTCTCAGAATTAGGCAGCCCCGGCAAGTCTGGCTCCTTTTTCTACTTCTCGAGGGATTACAAGTACATCATCAAGACGATCCATCACGCCGAGCATAAGCTGCTTCGGAAGATCCTGCGGGATTACTATCGACATGTACTGGATAACCCTAACACGCTGATAAGTCAATTTTACGGCTTGCACCGGGTCAAAATCCCCTATGGGCGCAAGATCCATTTCGTGGTCATGAATAATCTATTTCCACCCCACCGAGATATCCACCAAATGTTCGACCTGAAGGGATCCACCGTTGGCAGGGACTTTAGTGAGGAAGATTTGGCTAATAACCCTAGGGCGACGCTGAAAGACATGAATTGGCTACGGAGAGGTTTGCATCTCGAATTCGACGCTCGAATACGACAGATATTCCTAGACCAGATGAAACGAGATGTTGCTCTCCTACAGAGGCTTCACATTATGGATTACTCCTTGCTAGTTGGTATGCACGACCTGGAGAAGGGTAATGAGGAGAATTTGAGAGAGACAACGCTGCAAGTATTTCAGCCTGGTGGGGAGAATAACGAGGACGAGTATTCATCCTCGGTCTTGATTCGAACCCCCTCGCGACTGGAGAACGCGAGAAAAGCGCGAGAATTGAGGATGACGCTGAAAAGAGAGAAACCTGTCCCCATGGGCATGGTGAGTGCAAAGATGCCGTCTGAGATGGCCTCCGGGGATGAAAGACGGGATCGCATATTCTACAGTGATGATGGTGGAATTCGGGCTACGCATGAAGATGGGCGAGGTGGTGAATTGATTTACTACCTTGGCATCATTGATTGTCTGACCCATGTAAGTTGAATTTCAATCCTCTTTCCTGTGCCGTGACTGACTTTCCGCAGTATGGTATGATCAAAAGAATTGAGCATTACTGGAAGGGTCTTTCGGCTCCACGAGGGCAGATATCGGCTATCCCTCCACAAGCATATGGAGAACGATTCATCAATTTCATCACTGGGATCACCATGACCCAAGAGGAAGCTCAGAGGCGAGAAACTGAGGAGAGTCGCCGCGTCGGGGAACCAGTACCGATACTCGCAGCATCGGCGGAGGGCATGGGGCAGTCATCAGGCGCGGCGACTACGGGTTTCGAGCAATCTACCGTGCAATCACCACCCATGAGTCCAGCGGTCGAGAGGACGATGAGGAAGGCTCACAAACAAACCGACAAATCGACACCATCTGAGAAAGGTTGGGGTAGAAATGAAGAGGAGAAGCCGGAGCGGACATTGAAAACAACAGAGGATTCACGTGCCGCCATGACACTGCCTGTCGTCACGGAAGCCGGTGAAAGCGCGGGGTCAAGCGAAAAGAAACGGGCGTTGAGTCCACCGAACGAGGCGGAAGAGGAACGAGAAGATTATGCGTCTCAGCTAACCTCATCTCCTGTTCCGGTCGGCTCGTCAATCCCGGGGGTTCGCAGAGTTTCGCCTTCGACGTTGGCAACGGCAACAGAAAGGGGAGAAGACGACACCAGCATGTCAAGTCCACCGATCCAACCACTTGATTTGGAACGAGAATCGCTCTCCGACAATGACACCCACTCGCTGCACAATCGGAGCTTGGAATTGGGGAGAGAGTTCAACGAGAAGCCACCGCGGATAGCAAGCGATCTGATCCAGCCTCAGTCCCCTCTTCAGGATAGCGTGCTGAGGTCGCTCGATGAGCAGATGCGGGATTCTGGCCGGGACCATTGATTGTCATTTTCACCCACGTCATCTTTGCAGCATTATACGTCTCCTACGACTTGAACGAAGAGCGCATGCGGTCTTTTGAGAGCATCAGCAATTTCATTTGTGTTTTTCAGTCATATCTATCACTTGAAAGGGGGATGTTTTCCTGGTTCGGTTCAGAGGGGTTCAGAAAGGTTTGGGACGGGCGCATAGGTGAAGAACATCGAGGCAGAAGAGAGAAGGGAAGCCCTTGACAAAGGATGAGGCTTCGTCAGTGGAAGGGGAACTCTAATCCAATTTCTAGTAAGTCGTAGGCCGATGCCGGGGAGCCATTTCATAAAGGAAGCGTGTCTCTTTTGGAGACATGTCTCCTGTTTACAGCCACAAAAGGAGGCGGCGTCTTCGAGGGTTTTGCGAAAAGGACCATACGTTTGTTACAAGAGGATGACAAACATAGCCAGAGGGAGAAGAAAGAATTGGGAAGAGAGGTATATCTTGTACAGATAGCAGAAAGTTACCAGGTAGCCTGGCAGTCTGGCAAACCTGGCGAACTTGGTTCCGACCGTCTTTGTCTTTTACGAACCCCAGAATCTTGAGAGTCGGAGTAAGAGTATTAGTACTCGGTATGTAGGAATGAGGTCGATCAGGACGGTGCTAGCATACGTGGACTCTGGACTTCTCAGTAGCCTACACGGTGACCTGCGTCTCCTGCTTGTGGGTAGCAGCTGAAGTAGCTGTATCTCTCTGTTAGTCCAACAGGCTGTACGCATTACCGAGTGCTTCTGTAGTCTGTAGTGGCGCAAATTGCGAACTCGTATGCAGGGCGCAAGGGCGAAAAACAAGCTCATCAATTAACCTTTAAGCGCCAGCATGGCCCAAAAATTCTTGTTTCTTTTGGCACCAACGAGGAAATTTGGTCCTTCTACGGGTCAGTTGGCTACGTCATGCATGCCGTTTCTGCCGACGCCGCCGATGCTGACGACGCCGCCTTTGCGCCGCGTACAAGTACAAGGACCAATCCAAGGGCCAAGTCATTCGGCGGATATGGAATCAATCGTCTGACGGGTCAAGTGACATTTTTTCGTGGTTCACCGTGGACGTTTTGATATAAAACGGGCGATCTGAGCACCTTTTATCCTTGCGCTGAGGTCAGGTTCACTAAGCGATAAAACATCAAATAACAACAACAACAACAACCATCACTACTACCACCACCGACACAACCAACACAATTTACTAAGAGGATTCGTTTTGAAATCGAACAACGAGATATTAGCGATAATATAATTGGACGCAACTAAAGCAGACGCAGCGCGAGAACAAAAAAAAAAAACCAACAACTGAAGAAACAGTATCAGAAAGCAATGGCCCGTCCCCCATCTTCCACCGTACGTTATGTTCTTTGCCCTCATCCTGACGAGATGGTCATTCTCTTCCAATCGATGAACCAATCCAATCACCGCCTCCCTCACGAAGTCCTTAATATTGACAACCGACTGACTTTGCCGCGTGGCTAGAGCGACGTCTGTCTGTACTTCCTCGCGCTCTTCCTCCCGCCGCTAGCCGTCTTCTTCAAGACCGGATGCGACTCGAACTTTCTCATCAACATCCTACTGAGTATTCTGGGCTGGCTACCGGGTGTTTTGCGTAAGTTTATTCTCCCTCCCCCCCCTCCCTCTGAGACTTCGAATCTTGTACCTCGTATGCTGCGTGCTGTTTGCGGTATGCTTGCTTTGGATGCATGTACATGTTCTAACGAGCGTCTCATGTGCGCATCTCGACAGATGCGTGGTGGATTATCACGAAATATGAAAGACCGGCGCTGTCTGCCGTGTAAATGATGAGAAGGGGACGGATTGCGAATTGTGCAGACAGGAAGGCAGGCTATTTTTGTGTGGCATGCTAGCCCGGGGGGGTTCCCCTTTATTGGTTGATCTGTTGAGAGCGAGTTCGGGGTTGTTGCTTTTGAATTGAAGATATACCCTCGTCTTTTTCCCCTGGCACCTTTGGCTTCGCAGCCAGCCAACCAGCCAGCCAAGCCAAGTCATGGTGTCGGTTGATTTTCAACCCTCTACACACCTGGAGTACAGAGACGGCGGTAGTCTGTCTCGATAGCGAATGTTCAACTGTATACCCACAACAAATCCAGTTTTGCACGCGTTTCGGTCGGAGGGAGCTGGCTGCTGTAATGATGATGGAAAATCGACGATGTGATTCTATTCTGGAGGTTGTTCTAAAGCTATTGAACTCGTTCTGTTCATCCATATACTTCCTTTAATTCCTGAATTATCGTTGCGTACACCCAGATATTGCTTTCGCACAGGCGATACATCCAAGAGTGCCCTGCATTCAGCCAGACCAGCCCATGCAGGACAATCGTTTCTATCTTGTGTAAAGATGCTACAATAATGGGAGCACCTTATCTTACTGGAATCCCCCGACTCGCATCTCTTACATAGCATAGTATCAGCAGGGTATCGAGTAGGCGGATACAACATCCACCACGGGCGGGAAGATGGAAGCGGGAGGAGTCAATATTCAAGAGGCGGATTATCGAAGCGATCAGCACTAACGACTACGGAGCATGCAAGGAAGACGTCTGCTCATACCGCTTTTGGTAGGGCTTCATGAAATCATTATATCATTCTGCTGGCTTTTCATAGTCTTGTCCATCCATACCGCCCCCGAGAAGCACCGGCTTGACTCATTGTCCTGCACAAATGACTGTGGTGCTGCGAAGTATTGCCGGTGTGCTTCCTCTGTCTGGCACCACAAAGGCGCAGGTATGTCCCTTGGGACACATTATAAAACTCGTAGACATCGTAGTCAACTTCAGACTGGCCTCGAGGAGAGATGTCGAGATTCATTGCTATGATCATGGAGGTCAAAAACAGGTTTCAGAGGCTGGGCGTGCAGTGTCTTGATTGAAGTCGTCCTGGTCGTCCATAGAAGGAGCCAGCCTGGTGCCGCCACCAGCCAGTGACATTGATTACTGTAAAGGCGGATTCCAGGCCCAAAGCCATTTCCAGCGCGGGGTGAGCAGGGTTGGTTGACAGGTCTGACAGGCTGATGGCTTGTCGGCTCGACGGGTTGATAGGTGTCAACCAGGCACGCCAGGGTGCCAGGGTCAGTTGGTGTTGGTTGGCGTCGTTGATGCGGGTCCAGGTGGGGAGTGAATTTTGATCGTGTGCAGAAAAATCTACGAAACTTCAATCCGACAGCCGAGCCATGCAAAAAAGAGTCATCCTTATTCCCTTCCTTCCCACTTACTTGTCTTCCAGTACATCCTTCATTAACGCCTACTTCATTCCTCCTCAGAACCTGTCTGTCGTTTGATGATTTGAGAAGAGTCTGAAACCCAGAACGGTCCTTGAGCCATACTGCATTCTGCTCATCCGCTCCTGCCTTCCCTCACCGACAACTACAGCTGCGAACATGCCCTCCAGAACGGTTGAAGCCGGCGTTAAGAGAAAGCGCTCGAGTATGTACAAACTGTCAGGGTCAAATTCCAAGGATCCTCCCCATACCCGCATCCCAGGGTCTTTGTCATGACCTTTCCTTGGCTCACACTTTTTACTCAGGAGCGCAGTCTCTTCCCCCTCCCGAACTTCCTCGACTCGTCGCCGAACAACATGTCCCTATTGCAGCAACCGACAAGGACACAAAGAGACTGATTGTGGTGTTGTCCAACGCCTCCCTCGAGACGTACCGAGCTGCACACAGCGGAAAGCCCGGAGGGAAAGAAGAGAAGTATTCGCTCTTGAATAGCGATGAACATATCGGTGTGATGCGGAAGATGGGTCGAGATATAAGTGATGCCAGGCCCGACATCACACACCAGGTGGCTATTCATCCCACTGGACCTCTTGTAGTGGCGAGCTGACTTCAACGTCCAGTGCCTTCTTACTCTGCTCGATTCACCCATAAACAAGGCGGGTAAACTACAAATCTACATTCACACAGCAAAGGGCGTTTTGATCGAAGTCAGCCCTACCGTCCGGATCCCCAGAACCTTCAAGCGTTTCGCTGGTCTCATGGTCCAGCTGCTACACAGGCTCTCGATTCGATCGGTGAACTCGCAGGAGAAACTGCTCAAGGTCATCAAGAACCCTATTACCGATCATTTACCACCCAACTGTCGGAAGGTCACTCTGAGTTTCGATGCCGAAGTCGTCCGCGTCCGCGACTACGTCGATACCTTGGGTCCCAACGAGAGCATATGCGTCTTTGTCGGGGCCATGGCCAAGGGTAAGGACGACTTTGCCGACGCTTTTAAAGACGAATCGATCAGTATCAGCAACTACAGCCTCAGCGCCAGTATCGCTTGCAGCAAATTCTGCCACGCTTGCGAGGATGCTTGGAAAATCATTTGAAGTGCGAACAGGGCTTTTTCCAAACAAGGTAATGCCGTCAAAAAGAAGACTGATGCTCATCCCAGGTCGAGATTTTCTCTACTTCTAGCCGTGGGCCATTCTAGCGACCCGCTCGATCACAACATCGATGCCGGGTTGCATGAAAGGGCCCCTCGATACGGTTTGTGCTGCATTGGGGGAGTGTTGGATCTGGCGTTTGTTTTCACAACAAGACATAACATGGTTCAACAAAACCTCAAGGCGAGATTTCTTTTCTCCGTCTGAGATACCCGTAGGCGCATGTCAACCTGCCCTACACTGCTATCCACAAGTCATCAAAACAATGTGTGATGAACAAAGGTTTGGAGGAGAGGCGCCAGTCTCGGCGAATCTTGTTTGATAATAATGCGGGCATCTCTACATGTCCGCCGAATAGCGGCGAGCGGCATCTACTTGAATGCTGCCACTTTCCCAGCAGTCAGCTGGGCCTGAATATATACCGCCACCTTGCACAAGTCCACGATCTTATTCTCTAGTCTCCAATGGTGTTCTCCAAAAGATGCCTTTGCACGGAGGTCTCCAAACCCCCCTCTTCTTACAAACTGGTGTTGGTGGTCATTGAAGTCTGGCATCTCTGGGTTCGCCCACGACACCTCCGAGTCATCCTAGATTCTCTAAGCCTGTCTTCCTGACGAGAGAAATGGGCAGGCGCAGTAGAATTGTTGTCTGTGACGCTTCTGCATGGAATCTCGAGTCGATTCTCTATAAGTGACAAGTTCTTTGATTCTTGATTTGACCACCTGGTGCAAAATCAACTGGGGCCAATCACTTGTTTGTCATAACGTCCAAGACTGATGCTCAGCAACCCAAGGCAGACAGAGATGTTGAGCTTTTAGTACATGGTAACTACATGGTGGGAATGTATGTAGGTCGTGTCACACTCTTTGTCGAGGGAGGGTCGTAGAGGCGAAGTCGAGGGAGGGCAAGAGCGGGGAGTGGTGGTGGGTGTTGAGTTAGAGAGGAAGCAGTTGACTGAGACCCAACTGAGGCACCAAGTCACTTACTCGTGACTTGGATGCATTGACGCCCGACCGAAATCGCAACGGGCCGAAACACAGCCAGTTGGCGCCGTTCTTCCTCCATCTCAACCACTCATGCCGGTGCGCAGTTCCCCGATTCCCTCAATATGCCCTACGCTCCCAATCAAGCCTCGACAAATACTCCCCATTTCCGTTTCCATCACCTCTCTCCCGAACGATTCCTTTCATTCGACCCACAGGCTGCCATCCGCCTCCCAAGCCAACATCAAGCCTCTTTGACGTGGCATTTCCCCCGGCACCAGACCGTTTCATCGCCATCCCACCTTTCTCGATTCGTTCGCCACCAGTGATATCTGGAGCCTCCTCTCGCCTCACCCAGCGTGCATCACGCATTGTATTTCCCAGCCCCCCCTCGTCTCGTCTTCCATGTCAGATGGGCCTAGGGATTTGGTAGGAAAAGATCAGGCGCCTACAGGAAGCAAGGCGCAGGTACCCCATCCATCGGCAGCCCTCAGATCCCGCTGTCGGGTCGCGTGAAACCCATGTCTATGGTTTGGTGGACGAGGAGAAACTGTTTTCCGATGGATGGTTGATCATCACAAGACTTGTAGCGAATAAACCGCCGGTTGGTACCAGTCATGTTGGCTGCTCGTTGCTGATTGCTGATTTTTTTTCCCTTCCAACTCCTCACCTCGTTACTAAGGATTTTATATAGAGGACAGTATCTGTGTCAGTTGCTGAACCTACCAAAATCTTTGACCTTGGGTCGTTCAGGTTCAAAAACTACCCTTTATTTCCCTCAAGTTCCTGTCTAAGGGAATCCTCATTACGGTGACACAGTCCGTGGAAGATCGGTGAATCCAGACTGCGAGTATACGGTCTCGCCCAGGGCTCCAGAACCCATCACCGCCCCAGACAAACAGGCTGCAAGGACCAACCAGTCCTCCTTCGTCGGAAATCATACAGACCCTGAACGACTTCTGCTCCAGCCAGCAATAAGAAGCAGAGGGATCTTGTATAATATCAACCACCACCTACCTGCTTCCTGAGCGTTTTCTCGCATCTGGGACCACCTCACTCAGTTCCTCGACGATTCCATGCCTTCCTCTATTACCCTCACCGTCAGCCACCTTCCGACATCTACTTCGTTCTTCCTTTCCGCCCTCCAACCGCTCAACTACGTCTTCCGTGGCCGACAAGAGCAAACCATCGGCTTTGGCCCCGCGTCTCCACCCAATACTCCCCCCGACTTCTGGATCACACAAGAAATCCCCGGTGTCCCCGCGGGGGCCGCGCACGTGGCTTTCCCTGCGGCTTCTCGGGCACAGGTGCAGGATTTCTTCCTTGCTGCTCTGAAGGCTGGTGGGAAGATACACGGAGAGCCATGCCAGCGGGATGCTGCGGGATACTACTCGGCCGCAGTGATCGACTTTGATGGGAATTCCATCGAGGCAGTTTATAGACCTGCCTTTGGCGACGATGCCAACAAGGAAAATGCCGACACGAGAACTATGGTGTCCCATCGTACTGCGACTGTGAGAGCCCCTTCTGTCGTGGAACCTCCAAAAAGCGTTGTTTCCGCTGCGAAGAGTGTTAGAGCACCATCTCAGGTTGCCTCGCAGGCTCCGTCGCATGTCTCGGTTCCAGCAAGTGTACCCCCTGAAAATACTCAACCCAAGCCAAAGCCTTCTGGGGATGTTCTTGGTTCCTTGATCAACGAAGCTCGCAACGCTGCGAATGTGGCCCGCGGCCTCGTCAATAGCATGGCACCGAATCTCAGCTCTCCAGCCCCGCCATCTACAGGTAACTCCACGGGTGGTGGGAGCGGAGCAGGTGAAGCCATTGTTGGTACCCTCCTCGGTGTCGCGGCTGGCGCCGCCCTCCACTACGCCTTCAGCAACCGATCCAAGGAAAACACCCGTGACGATACAGAGGAGCACAAGTTTGTGCCTCCTCCTCCTCGCCCTTCCGTCGTCGGCCGCAGTGCCACCGAGCCCGTCAACGTAATGCGCGCGGAATACTCAACTGTTCCATCCGAGTATCCCGGAGTTCCTGAATTTGGCTATCGAGCCATTGAGCCAGCTCCTTCAGCATACACTTACACACCCCAGGACCCCAGCGAGCAAAAGCTCATCACCATGTATGATCACGACCAGCCGGCGCCGACAGTTCACACCTTTGCCGATGAGGCGTCCACGATCCGCCCTGCTTCAGCGACGAGGCGAGTGAGCATGGATTCTGGGGTTGGCCTTGGGGTTGTCCCTCGCGATTTCGACGCAGCGACGCACGCCTCGAAAGCATCGCGGCAGTCGAAAAAGAGCATGAATGCACCGCCACCGACAAGCTACCGTGCTCCGACTGCACTGACGGTGAAATCGAAAGTTTCGGGTGCGTCTGGTGGTGGCGGACGCTCGAGATCCCGCGCGAGCAGTTTAAGTCGCCTTGGTAGGAGTCTCAGTGGTCGGTCGTCGGCAGATCAGCCGAGGTCAAGATCGCAGTCCCGACACAGCAACAGATCGAGAAGGAGTCGACGCGATGAGTTTGAAGATAATGCGGCCGAGGACGAAGAAGCACAGACGGTGTTGCATGTGTCGGAGACTGTTCATCGTTCTTCGAGCCGTGTGTCTTCGCACCACACGCATACGGAATCAAAGGTAGCAAGTCACGTCTCTGCGCACCACTCCCATGCAGGATCCAGAGCCCCAAGTCATGTCTCGGTGCACCAGTCGCATTCAGGATCCAAAGCACCAAGTCACGTATCAGTTCACGAGTCTCATGCCGGATCCAAAGCGCCTAGTCATATCTCGATGCACGAGTCCAAGGCAGGTTCAAAAGCAGCGAGCCATGCCTCGGCCCATGAGTCCCACGCAGCCTCCAAGGCGGGCAGTCATGCGTCTGCGCATCAGTCCAAAGCAGGATCCAAGGCGGCTAGCTATGTCTCGAATCACGACTCGCAGGTGACGATAAAGCCTGCTAGTCGAATCAGTTCAAAGCACAGTCGCAGAGACCCTGCCGAATATCCCCTTCCGCCTTCTCGCGCGGCGACATGGACAGGTTCCGATACCGGAAAAAGCTTTGTTTCTGCGAGGTCGAACTTTGGACCGAATGGGCCAAGGACGATTATAGGCAAGCTCAAACCCATGCGCGATGGAGGTGAGATGACCGATGAGGACGATAAGACGGAGACGGCGAGCATGGTGTCCAAACAGAAGGAGTTGGCCAAGTTGGATGTGACGGATCGGGAGGTGATGCCGGAGGACAGCGTCAGTCAGATCTCGGTGGAGAGCCGAAGGAGCCGGAGAAGTAAAGCCAGCAGTAGAAGATGAAGGAGGCAGCAAGGGCATTGCAGTCGAGAAGAGGTGAAAGGAGGAAGTATTTCATTGGCATATTTCTTTGGGAGAAAGTACATGGCGGCATAGCGCAAGCAGATGGCCGAGGATGTTTGGAAATCATTACCGAAGAGACATAGAATCTGGTTGAGAGGGATTGCTCGAGCAAACTATCGTTGGATTATCCGCTAATATATACATACATGAACATAAATTCATACTGACATGGATGTCGTGCCTGATATAAGCGCGTCTTTTACTCCGCGGAGGCTCTTCGGTCGACATGTGAGTCAAGCGTTTTGATCTGCGCATTGCTTTTGAAATGACCAATCAGAACTGACAGCAGCATCCCCGGTCCTCGGAGTTCCTCCACTTGTTTTTCGCTATATCTGATGTCTACCACCTACTCTCTGCCACTGTACCTACACAGGCCGTTCTTCTCGATTACACGACAGCAGAATCTGGAGGGTCGACACATTGCGAGTCAACCAGAGCCAGAACCAGGGACGGGGAATAAAGAAAGACAGTGTACGCTGGTACACGATACAGGGATCGAGAGAGATCGCCACCACAGCCATGCTCGCCGCCACTACTCGCGCCACGATGAATTTCCCATTCTCATACCCTTATGACGACGAGTCGAGTTTTCAGTCCATGTATGATCCTTTATCAATGACAATGTCAATGTCAATGGGGGCGACGTCCTCCGTTCCTCTTCCTATCCAGCACCACCAAGATTCCAACAAGCGACGACGACGACGATCTGACAACACGGCAAACACCTTCCCCAGCCCTTGCGACGTACAGAGTCAGGATCCGTCATCATCATCATCATCCTCCTCCTCTTCTTTCCCATCCGCCTGTCCTCTCGATACATACAGAAGCGAACCCTCGCGCTGGCGCGCCCTGGTGGCACGAGATACCCACGCCACCGACGCGTTCGTCTACGCCGTCGTCACCACAAAGATCTACTGTCGCCCAGACTGCCCCGCGCGGCTGGCTCGACGGGCAAACGTCCGGTTCTTCGACCTGGCCGCACAGGCGGAACGGGATGGGTTCCGGGCTTGTAAGCGGTGCAAGCCGAATCGGGCAAAGGCGGCTGTGTTTGGTGGTGGTGGTGGTGAGGTGGTGTCGACGTCGTCATCTTCAGTGCCGTCGTCAGCGCCGTCTCCTCGGTCCGAAGAGACTCCAAATTCATCGTCGGCAGCGGAATCCCTCTCTGGTCCGAGGACCATCTCCCCCGTCTTGTTACCTGCGCCGAATCAGCAAGGCCAGGAACAAGAACGGGAACAACATAGCCACGCGGCAGTAGACGGCCACGACGACGAGAACGAGAACGAGAACGAGGACATCCACGCCAAAATCCAGCGTGCGGTACACCTCGTGCGCCAAGCGGCGCTTGAAAAGGCCCAACCCCTGAGCCTCGCCCAGCTGTCCGCGCAGGTCGGCCTGAGTAAGTGGCACTTACAGCGCGTGTTTAAGAAGATCCAGGGCGTGACGCCGCGGGAAATGGCGGAGCAGATTCTTGAAGCGAAAGCGACAACGACGGCAGCCACAACGACACCGGTAACCATCATGCCAAACGCCGAGGGAATGCCCACCTCTCACCCTCACGTGCAGGGCACTCAACCTCTTGCGCCACTACCTGTGATGGATCTCGCTACGGCGGGGTGGTTCGACGGCCTCCTCGACAGTGACAATCTCTTCGATTGTGACTATGACGTTGACTTTGGGTATAACGATCCACGACCGCAGAGACAGACGCAGACGCAGCCGCAGCCGCAGCCGCAGCCGCAGCCGCAGCCGCAGCAGTGGCAATGGGAGGGAGCTCTGCCTCCACCTCTAGCAGCACCTCCATCAGCGCAATTCGCACATGGTGTCCCGACCTCGATGCTACCTGGGCCCGTACCAGCGGACATGAACTTCGACATGGCCATGAGCATGGACTTGGATATGGGTATGGATATGGACATTGACATGCACGCCTCCGACGCCGCCGAAATAGAAGGGCTACTGAACGACTTATTCCCCGAGATCCTTGTATAAGAACCGTGTAAACAGATCATCCTTTGACGGGGGAGGGATGGCACAAAAAGAAAGAGAAGAAGCCGAGTGACGAGCTAGCTTTTTTAATGATTATTTTAATGATTATTAGCTATCATTCTTCTTCTCTTTTCTTCCCCTCTCTTCTCTTCTTTCTCCTCTCCTTTTCATGTTCAGAAAAAAGAGAGCAACGACGATACCTGTCGCAAGCACGCACAAAGGTCCAGAGGCCAAAAAGCCAAAGGGCCCCCCACTCCCCAAAAAAAGGATGAGGGCTGGGAGCTGAAGTCCGCAGGCTCAAACCACAAAGCCCAATTCGTCCCGGTTATCGTCAGTCAGGCGCGCCCACTCGAGCAACAGGCGGAAAAAGTAAGCCTCCATGTCCTCCTTGCGGAGCACTTTGCTCGCCCACTCGCGGCCCGCCTCGGCGATCATCTCGGCCTCTTTGACGTGCGGTTTCCACCAGATCTTGTGGCCGAACATGGTCCCGTTGACACCCCCAAAGTACGCCAGCGTGCTCCACACGCCGTGCAGGCGGAGGTCCTGCGGCACAAAGTGCAGCCAGGCCGTGAGGCGCGAGTCGTACCATTCGCGGAACAGCGCCGTCTTGAAGGGCAGGGAGCGCGAGTGGAGAAAGGGCAGGAACCGGCCGCTGAAGCCCGCACCGTCGAGGTCGAACAGGAACCGATACCGCCAGTGCGCTTGGAAATCCGTGGGTCTCACGAGGTTGAATTCTCGCTCCTGGTCCGTGCAGTCTTTGCCGCCGCACCGGGCGATGAAATCCACAATGGCAATGTCGGTTTTCAGGCCCAGCTTCTTCACGTCGCCTCCTCGGATCGTCTGATACTGGTATTTGGAATGGTCTGCCGGGCTGGGAAGGAGGACGGTCGCGGCATCGTGCGGATGGTTGGTCAGATTGTTGGCCATGTGCACAAAGCGTTGGCGGGTCATTCCTCGCCAGGCGCCGCTGTTGGAGGAGACGCCCTCAGAGGTGGCGCCACGCCAGAACAGAACGTTTTCTTTCTCCCCGAACGGCGGGTCTGGAAACCCCGGGTGATAGCCTTCTTCTCCAGGTGTCCCTTTGGGTTCGCTGGGCGCATAGATGGCTTTGTCCATGTAGTTCCAGGCTGAAGGGTATAGGATGTCGCTGTAGCCGTGCGGCTTGGATTGAGAGAAGACCGGCATGAGCTGGTAGCTCGTCTTGAATGCTGCAGGGGAGAGGTAGAAGCCGTGAAGTCGGGCCAGATCTGGCTGATGGCATACATCTGCGGCATCGGACCAATTGCCCACGAACTGACCCAGAGAATGTGGAGTCACGCAGCTCCCACAAAGGTGAGACTGGGATGCAAGGTGCGGCGACGCCCGTGCAAGCGAGGAAGGAGGGCAGCTTACTGAGCCGAAGGAATGGAAGCTGTTGCGCCACGAGTTGTCCCGAAATATCGTCTCCGTATATTCCTTTTCGGGCACTGGCAGCCAGCCTGACGCGCGATCGGCTGACCAACTTGAGTTACCGCTCTTATCCTGTGCTCGGCCTTGTTCTTGGAAATACCTGAGCTGCTCATATGGCACGGCGACCCTAGATTCATCATTCAAGTTGAACGCCAAATCCATGTCAGGCAGATACCGTGCGAAGCTGTTAATGAGAACGGCGACACCCTCCAGCATCCATCGATGGGTTGGCAATACGTTCTCTTGGACCTTTGCCTCTCCGTCACGGATGGTGATCCCGGAAATCTCATTCCATGGGTTGGATACCATCTTCCACGTCTGGCTTCGCAGATCAACCGGCAGGATCGCGCGAAAAGGCAGCAAATCATGATAGATCTGGTCGTATTCGTCTACGATCAGCACAGACCTGTTTTTCGCATACTCGAACCAAGTGTCGAAGCCTGGAGGAGGGTTTCGGTTGTATCTCTGTTTATATCCTGCCACGGCCTCCGCGAGGGACGAAGTGCTTCCCACGGATTCCAGATACTTATTATGATGAAGCGTGGCGTCATACATGAGCATATCAATGGGGTGAAAGTGGACGTAATCTTTCTTCAGCCAGGCGGGAAAGATGGCACCGCAGAGGACAACAAGTAGGAGAAGTTGTCGCGACGGTCGCATCACGTCTCTGATGCCCAGTTCCTGCTGTATCCAACGATACGCCCATTGTCCAATAAATACTAAGAAAAAGGATACCGTCGTCGCCGTAAACGGTATTTGAGGAAAAGGATTCCTGTGTGACCAAATAAACTCCAGAGCGGGTATCATAGTGATGGAAGCGGTCAGATACGTTGTCATGTCTAATGCGCCGTAAGTCATAATCTGCCGAATGTCAGTATAGCTTCTGCGAATGAGTCCACTCCAACTTACACTGTGTAGAAGAGATATACACAAAAGGCAGAAAAGAAGAACGTGATATCCCATGGCAAAGATTGTGCCTACATCCAGCGGTGGAAATACAAACAACAGCCAACGTCGGTACTCTGGTTTGAAAATGTACACACATATAGCCGCAATCGACCAGACGACAGACGTGGCAATCATGGTTGAGCTCCAGAGGACTACGCATCGTCGTCCTGAAAGACCCCTGCCATCAGATTTTGGGATAGTCTCGTAGGCAATGACGACAAGGCAAAGGTCCAGCACCAGGGCGGAGACTTGCATTAGCGGGATCGTCTTCGAATCGCCGAGGGCAAGGGGACAGATATAGGTCGAGTTTGTTGAAGTCCATAGGCCGTGAGTGAGGTAACATCCGTAGGATACCATCAACATTGATAGAAGATACCGAGTTCGCGGCCTCAGGATGTAGGTCCTAGCAGCTGCAGACCAGGACTCGTAAACCGAACTGTCGGGGTTTTCCTCATCCTGCAAGTCGATTGGACGCTGACACCTAATACAATCATACACTGCCACTAAGAATGGCAGAAACACTTCGACACTGGCGATGGTGCACTCCGTAGCCAGTGAAATGCGCCGATAGACCTCTATGCGCAAGGACAGGGCAGCAACTGCTAGGGCTAGTACCGATACGCGAACCTTGCCAGTGTGTTTGTGTCGCGCGGAAGTTGTTTCCAGGTATTCCAGCCTTCCGTTGGCTTCCTCCCCAAGCTCTTCCAAAGGCACCGCCGTATATTGGCCTTGTTTTTGCTTTGCATCTGGAGACGGGAACAACTGAGGTACTGCCCGACTGGCACTCGGTAAAGCGAACGAACAAGCCGTAAGCGCAAGGATCACAGTGTGAACGGGTCGGTCGAAAGCAGTCGAAAGCGGGACAAGGTGTGCTAGGAATGCTGCCAACAGCAATGATAGGCTATCGCAGTCAGTATCTGCCAGTGTACCAAGCGACAGATGCTCACCAGAAGCACAGAATATCGAGTTTTGTCGCCATGATGACCGACCGCGCCCCTTGCGCCTAACCGAAATGTCAAAGCAAGAGACCCAAATAGATCTGTGTAGAGAGACTATATCGCATGGACAATATTCCTCTAGCGCGCGACATCACGAACACAGCGCGCTCTAATGAATGAGGATCATTGACTATTGCGCGGTTGCAGCGATTTCTGATGCGCAAAACAGTACGAGGTAATGGCGATCGGGCTGTGTTCAGGGTGTTAAACTCGAGACGAGGCTAGGGTGTCCGGTGTCTTGGGTGTCTTGGGTGTCTTGGGTCTTGGTGCTTGGGTCGCAAGGCTGTCGAGGATTGAGGATAGCCTCGCCCCCTTGCGCCTAAATTATTGGACCCCACGAGCCCACAAGGTGCTACAGGTAGCCACAGGTGGCCACCCCACATTGTCTCCGATAGGAAACTGCGGCGAAATTTTTGGAGATGTTTCTGAACTTTTTCTTACTAGACAAATCCCTAGGACTGACGGTGTCTAGTTGAGAATTCACTCTCCCTACATCAAAGCTTCGAGCGGAGGGGGGCCGGGAGAGATCCAAGATGCCTCGAAAAGCCATCGACTCCCGCATCCCAGCGCTGATCCGCAATGGCATTCAGGAAAAGAAGCGCAGTTTCATCGTCGTGGTGGGCGACCGAGCAAAAGATGTTATTGTCCACCTGCACTATATCATGTCCTCGGTCGATATCAAGCAGAATAGATCTGTCTTGTGGGCTTATAAAAAAGACCTCCTAGGTTTCACGTCCCACCGAAAAAAGCGCGAAGCAAAAATCAGGAAGGAAATCAAACGAGGCATTCGAGACCCGGACACTGAAGATCCTTTCGAGCTGTTCGTCACGTTGCACAATATCCGATATGTCTACTACAAAGAGACGGACAAGATCCTTGGTAACACATATGGCATGTGTATTCTTCAGGATTTCGAGGCCATAACACCGAATCTCCTCGCCAGAACTGTGGAAACGGTTGAAGGCGGCGGATTGGTTCTCCTCCTGCTGAAAGGAATGAAAAGTCTGAAGCAGCTATACACAATGTCTATGGATGTACATTCGAGATATCGGACAGAAGCCCATGATGATGTGGTGGCCAGATTCAATGAGAGGTTCATTCTCTCTTTGGGAAATTGCGAGTCTTGCTTGGTGGTGGATGACGAGCTCAATGTTCTGCCCATATCCGGAGGAAAGAATGTCCAACCTTTGCCCCCACCGAGTAGCGAGGCTGAACGTGTGCTGCCGAATCAGAAGGAGTTGAAGGAAATCAAAGACAGTTTGGCGGACAGCAGACCAGTCGGACCTCTGATTACTCTTGCCAAAACTGTCGATCAAGCGAAGGCTCTTCTTACCTTTGTCGATGCGATATCAGAGAAGACCCTCCGGAGTACTGTCACACTTACTGCGGCTCGAGGCCGAGGGAAATCAGCAGCTCTTGGAGTGGCCGTTGCTGCTGCAATAGCTCATGGCTACAGCAACATCTTCATCACCTCACCAAGTCCTGAAAATTTGAAGACATTGTTTGAATTTGTCATCAAAGGCTTCGACGCCCTAGAATATATGGATCATGTCGATTATACGATTTTGCAATCAACAAATCCGGATTACAACAAAGCCATCGTACGGATCAACGTCCACCGGCAACATCGCCAAACCATCCAGTATATTCAACCTCAAGATGCCCATGTCCTCGGTCAAGCAGAACTGGTGGTCATCGATGAAGCAGCAGCAATTCCTTTGCCGCTGGTACGGAAATTGATGGGGCCTTATCTTGTCTTCATGGCATCCACCATCAATGGCTACGAGGGAACTGGCCGTTCGCTGTCGCTGAAACTCATCCAACAACTACGAGAGCAGTCTAGGGGTGGACCTAGCACTAATGGAGACGACGTCGAGGTTGCAGACAAGGCGACAGGCAAGGCAGCCAGGGATGGCGCCAAAGTCTACACCGGCGGAAGAAGTTTGAGAGAGATCACGCTGGCAGAACCTATCCGTTACGCTCCCGGAGATGATGTTGAGAAATGGCTGAATCGGCTATTATGTCTCGACGCCACGTTGCCTAAGTCGAAGATGAATACCCAAGGAACGCCTCATCCATCAACATGTGAATTGGTCCATGTCAACCGTGACACGCTTTTCTCCTTTCATCCTGTCTCCGAAAAGTTCCTGCAACAAATGATGGCGCTTTATGTTGCGTCGCATTACAAGAATTCTCCCAATGATCTTCAACTCATGTCTGACGCCCCAGCACATCAACTCTTTGTACTGATCCCCCCGATATCTGAGAACGCAAACAAACTACCGGAGCCTTTGTGTGTCATCCAAGTCGCTCTCGAGGGTCGGATCAGCAAAAAGTCGGTTCTGAGCAGCTTGTCCCGTGGTCAGAGGGCAGGGGGTGACTTGATTCCCTGGCTGGTCAGTCAACAATTCCAGGACTCGGAATTTGCCGGACTGTCCGGTAGCCGCGTTGTTAGAATTGCTACGAACCCGGATTACCTGAATATGGGGTATGGGTCACGGGCACTGGAGCTCCTGAGGGACTTTTACGAGGGCAAGTTCACCTCTTTGTCTGAGACGGACGAGACCACAATAGAGGATGCAGAGCACATGCCGCGCGTCACGGACGCCGAACTCGAAGAATCCAATCTGCTCGATGACAATATCAAAGTACGCGATATACACGAAATGCCGCCACTTTTCAGCAAGCTCTCCGAACGACGACCCGACCGCTTAGACTATCTCGGTGTCTCGTTTGGCTTGACACAGCCACTCCATAAATTCTGGAAGAGACATTCCTTCGCACCCGTGTATCTGCGGCAAACGCCTAACGAATTGACGGGCGAGCATTCCTGCGTTATGCTCCGGCCTCTTTCGACAAGCACAACCACAGATAACTCGTGGCTGGCGGCTTATGCGCAAGATTTCCACAAACGGTTCCTTACTCTGCTGTCCTATCAATTCCGCACCTTTCCTTCGGTCCAAGGACTGTCTATTTCGGAGTCCGCCTCGCGAGCCACCAGATCTGGCCCTGACGAGTCATCCTCGACGAATGTGAAACCTCTCACCAAAGCCGATCTTGACGCCCATTTCTCGCCTTTTGATCTTGCCCGTCTTGAGTCATACGCCAACAACCTGCTTGATTACCATGTCATCCTCGACCTGCTACCTGCCCTCGCTTACCTCTATTTTACTGGCCGCCTCAAGCTCCCACCTTGCAACGTCAGTCTGTCTGGAGTGCAGCAGAGTATACTACTTGCAATCGGGTTGCAGAGGAAGGACCTCAGTGACGTGGAAAAGGAGCTGAACTTGCCGAGCAACCAGCTGTTAGCCATGTTTGTGAAGGTGGTCAGGAAGATCAGCACGGCATTGAGGGCAGTTTTGAGCCGCGAGGTGGAGGCGAGCTTGAGCAAGAAAGAGATCGAAACGAATAGCGAGGCGGCAATCAACTCGAACCCCAGCGGTGGCAGGGTACACATTGCACCTCTGGGCCCTGCGAATGGTGATGACGGTGGGGAAGAAGATGAGGAAGAAGTCGACCCAGAAATGCGAGAGAAACAGAGGGCAATGATCGATGCGTTGCCGCTTGACAAGTGAGTCCCTTTCAGTATCTTGCCGCATACACACCGCAACTCAATCCCATCCCCTATCTACCCAATCCTCATGAGCTTTTTCTTTCCCATTTTCCCCCTACGCAGTCCCTTCCTGAAACCCAATGTCAAGGCAACCGATGACGAGACACGAGAGAGATGTACACTCTGAACTAATAAGACTTTCGATCGATCCAGGTACGAAATCTCCACCACCAACGCCGCAGACGACCGGGCCTGGGAGCAAGCCGAACGACAGGTCCGCGAAGCCGGCAACAGCACCGTCGTGAGCATCAAAAGTGCCGGTGGAAAAGTGAAAAAGCGGAAGATTGACGACTCGGAAGGTGATGGTGGAGAAGGAGACGAAGACGCCGCCGCTCGAGGTGGTGATCACAACAGGGAGAAGAGGCGGAAAGACAAGAAAGGAGGCCGGATAGAGGGGAGCGGAGGAGGGAAGAAGAAGACAGGAAAGACAAGGGACAAGGATAAGGAGAGAAGGAGAAAAGCATGATTGATTTTCCTCCTCTCACGTCGACCTTGCTTTTGTGCTGGAGAGATCTACCTCGCTCGTCATGTATGGGCGCGTTGACAAGGGTTCAAGACTAGGACTATGACCGGGACCAGGATCCGGACAGGAGCATCTTCTTCAAGAACAAGGCCATTGATTGAACGCAAGGCTAAAGTAACACCAAACTGCGAGGTCAGGTCGAACTCGAGACTCGAGACTCAAGTGTCAACCTTTGTCGCAAACATTATCACCATGCTTGACTTTTAATTCTTGACTCTTGCCTCTTGTTCATCTTTTTTGTAATCAAACCCCCAGTCCCCAATCCCTAATCCCCCGGTGCTTTACACACTTACATCACCTAGCCAGTCCAGTAGCATTGTATCTATCTACACCACGACTGCAGGGCACGAGACGGCACGAGACGGCACGAGACGAGATAGTTCCTTGCGGTCCAGATATTTTATTCTCTCTCTCGAGATGCTATCTCCGCGTTGCATAGAACCTGGAGAAAAAAAAAAGAGGGGGGGTTCACCTAGTATGTACCCAGTAGAGAGAGGGAATGGAGAAAATTGCATCGTATCGTAACTAGCTAGCTAGCTACGGAGCTTAGATTCCCTTTCGACGTCGACTGATCTCATGATGAAGAAGACGGCGACATCACAGCAACCAAGCCAAAAAAAAAAACAAGAAACCCAAGGCTCGTCCGGTCTCAGTCTCGTCCCAAGCAAGTGCCACGTCAATCAATATGCATCATCATCATCATCATATCTCCCAATGTCGTGTGTGCAAAATTGTGACTTGCACGGTATACCAGAACCAGAAGCAGAACCAGGTCCCAGTCCCAGTCCCAGTACCCAACCCGCCTCCCCTTGTCACCTTTCTCCATCTTCATAAAAAAATAAGCAAGCCCCGCGTGTGAGAAAAGTCAAAAAAGAGGTGGATTGTGTGTGTTCCACGAACAAAATGGGCGGCAAAGGCGGCCGAGCAGCCTGAAAGCTTTTCTTTCGATTTGCCACCAGGATGAGTGTCGCTGACATGACATGACATGACACCCTTCGACCATGATGAAGTAAGTGAGTGGGTCGTCGATGGCGAACCACCACCACCAATTCAGCAGCAGACACAAATCATCCATCATCATCATCATCATCATCGTCCATCCGTTGAGCACATTCTGCACGAAATGACACAGCACGGCATCAGTCTGAAGGGAGGTAATCATCGTCACTTGGACGACTTCTTTGAGACGGCCCTTCTTTTCGGTCGGTCCGAGGTCGACTGCTGGGAATTGGCGTACGCAACAGCTGGCGGCCCCACGGTAAAGCGCACTCGTCTCTGCTTGTCTGTCTTTTGTTTCTTGTTCTTGTCTCGTGCACCTGCCATAGTCGTGGGTTTGATGACTGAGCTGGTGTCCGTGCCAGTGGCAGCGCCGGCTGGCGAGTCGGAGACTTTTCGTTGCATGCGATTCTTCAACTTCAAAATCACGACGGGCTTCTTGTTTTGTGGCGCCGGGGCAGGCAGATCTTCCTTGTCTTTTGGATCTCGAAGTGGAGATATCTCCTTCTCCGTGACAGGATATGTGCCGTCACCCTGGTAGAACCATTCGAATCCCTCCGGCTCGCTTCCATTCTTCAGATCCCAGACACCATGGACAACCGGTGTCCTTCCAGGATCGTTTGGATCGGCAACAACCTCATACCGGCCAAAGACGTACTCCTTGCGATTCTCAACTGAAGACTCTATGTACATCTCCAGTGCTTCTTTAAACGACCTTCGCTGAGACAAGGTCGATTCGGCTGTGAAGCGGAATCTGAATCCTTTTGGGTGACAGAAGACTCTCTTGGTCGTGAAATCGTCTGGTCTGAAATGTCGCGGGATGTGAAGCCTGACTCGGCCGTCATGACGTGCTTCTCTGCTTGCTATCTCAGAAGGGCTGCCACAAGAAATGCGCGCCCCGTCCTTGTTATTTGGTGTAGCGGCTTTATGACTGTTGCGATTCATCTGCTCCTCATCCACCATGGGAATAGGGTGGTCCACAACTCCTCTCCCCTGGTCCGTCTTTGGCTTCTTCGTGGGTGGTAATGCAGTCTCTTCATCGGTGATATCGAGACGGTGCTTTGCGGCGTTGTCGGACGACACTCGACTCACATCTTCCGCCGTTGGTGAACCAACCCTAAATGTAGCAGAGGTGCTAGTAGCGTCAGAAAAGTGCTCGGTGCGGGCGTTGCTCCTATCATCACTTCTTGTGCTGGCAATTTGCTTGGCCGTCGAAAAAGGGGCGCGGCTCATAAGTGTCTCTTTTTGGTCCAGTATCTTCAGCTCCAGGTTCCGGATCTGTGCACGCAGATCAACGTTTCCATCTTGCTCAATAGCCAGCTCCGCGATCTTGGACAATCTGAGCCACTCTTGCACGTTTGGCTGCATATCCCACAAAATGTGCTTGCACTGGCCGAAACCTCTCGACGTACCCACAGGCGAGGCTTCTGTGAAAAGATCGTCCCGAGAAACCCCAGAGTACTCGAAACTGGAGGCGATGGAAGAAACATCAGTCGCATCAAGAACCCCCCCGATCAGGCGAATAAGTACCTCGAGTCGCCTCACTAGGCTTTCATCCTTGGTTGTCGCAGGCACACCATCCGCTGATCCTTCACAACTGGTCGAAGAATCAAACGCGGTCGAATCTCCTGGCGAAGGGTTTTCCTCGTCAAGTTCCAACGCCAGAGCCACAAATAGATCATGACGTTCTTGCTCTTCGTCGATACGTCGTTTGGTGTTTCCCTTCTGCCTGACAGTGTTGAAGTGATTGTAGTATTTCTGAAGCAGCTTGAGGTTATCGCGGCTCTTTAGCACCTCGTACAGGCAATAAACCATGAGATCTCGTCCCATAGGGTTTAGTCGCGTCACATCCATGATGTGGTCCCAATCCTTGGGCTGGATTTCCCCCCCATAGTCCTCGAGGACTTTGCCCAGAAGTTCCTCGACAGCTCCCAAAGAGTCTTTTGCAGCTGCCCGTCTTCGTAGCTTACTTTCAGAAATACCAACTTCTTCGAGTTCACCAGCTGTGACTGCCCAAGCTGGACCGTGTCTGTGGCTCGCAACCAAGACGGGCATTTTGGTCGGACTTATATCTCTTTTTGAGCGAGGTTTTCCGCGCGGCAATCTAGCGGGGATTTCGTCTTCATGCTGTACAGAGCGCTTGCTGGAAACTTGAGGTGCTCCGCCCTTTGTGGAGGTGGTACCAGGATTGTAGCCCAAACGCAATGCCTCGTACCAGGCTTTTGATAAAACATCAAAAACATGATCGAGGACTTCCTTCCGTCTCTGTTCGTCTCGAATTCTTGTTCCCCATTCCGCCCAGTCTTTCACGTGCTCCATAACCTGTGTACAGAAGGGAAGATTGCTATCAGGGAGAAGGGCTGATCGATCAAACCGTCGCCGGTGCTGCGATCGGGACCCGGATGGCATTAGAGCTGGAGGGAACTGGTACCTCACGGGTTCCTGTATAGGGTCGTCGATGTTCTGGGTGGATGCGAATGGTGGGATCTCGAAGTAACCAGACTGAAGATCCTTTCTGATCGCAGCGCGGGAGTTCTTATAAGTTGTTTCCATCGTCTCAATCTGGGGCTTAGTGATCCGGGGCTGTTCGGTGATGGTGGCGACAAGGTCGGGGACTGCTAAATCATCTCGATCTGGGGCCGACGATGTGTCAGTCATCCCGGCAATTGTTTTGGCTTGATCGACCTCTTCTCGGATGATTCCGACTTCAAGAACGTGTCTTTGCTCGGGATGGACATCTGTTCCGACCCTTGCACCACGATTCTGCGGGGACTGTGTCGGTGACTGCATGGCTGTGCTTGCAGGCTGCGAGTAGGTCTCCATTCCCTGAGGTAAAGCGTCAGCTGGTGGTGCGGCAAGATGGTAACATCCCATATATCGAGGGCAAGAGAATGACTAGAGCCCATAATTCAAAGCCAGAACTCGCAATGAATCATACCAGAAGTCGAAGGGAAGTTGTGAGGAGCGACTTGCGGCAGCAGCAGGGCAGATGGCAGTAGGAGCCTAGGGCACGCTTGGACGTTGAAGGGAAGAATGAATGTCATTCAAACCCATTTCGAAAGAGTGAGTATTTGAAGAGAATGGTAAGTGAAAGATGAGAGAATGGAGGAGAAACTTGGGAAGAGATCGAGGTAAGAGAACAATGAGAGAAGAGAGCGATGTCGAAGGACAACATTTGTGATTTAGCAGCTCGATGAGATTCACTAGGACGTGCGATTCAGAGAATCCATGACGCACAACTTGAGCGTAGTTAACCTGAGATATGCCAGAAAAGTGAAAGTCTTTTTGGTTTCACCATCAGAGCTCATCATGCTCTGCGCTCAGGCTCTCTTCGGGCTCAGGTTCTGGGGCAGCAGCACTGATAACAGTGTTAGTGGCCTCGGGCTCTGGACTCTGTTCTGGCTCAGGGTCGGCAAGATCTTCACTATCATCGGCTGTCTCGATAGGCTCAGTGGCCTTCATCGTCTCTGGGGGTTCAGGATCCGAAAAGTTCTCTGTCGATGCTCCAAAGCCATCGGGCAAGGCTGACCTGGAACCTTCACCGAGTTTGATGGCATCCACGAAGTTTTCCAAGTCAAGGACGTCATAAGAATTACTCGAGTATCGTCGCCACCAACCTCTCTTCATGTTCATTGCAATGATTTCGATCTGCCCCTCTTGTCCGAGGCCCAGGCCATTTCTGATCAGGGTTGCAGCTTGGTTTTCAGCAGGTACAGCATAAGTGGGTATCATACTGGCCTTGCGCATGTTGTGCTTGTGATTGATTTCCGCAAATGCCGCCAATGCCGATGTTGCTGGTTCAGACGGCGGATCTTGCGGATCGGCGAGGAGCACCAGTATGCAGTTGCCGCTTCTTGGCATCATACAAGCAGCCTCTACCTCTGCCTCGGTTGAGAGTGTGGGAATCGGCGTGATGGCCTCTGGAACAATCATTGGCTTTTCGTCCACTTCGACAATCGGTAGAGGGGACTCGGTAGGAGTGTCATCGTCAAGTACGATGGTGCTAGAGCCCTTGAGATGCTCTTCGAAGTCGGAGGATTTATGGGCTGCTGACGCTCTGGAGAATGCGGCCGAAGCTGATGATGATGTCTTGGACTTTTTGCCTGTGGACTTTGCTGGCTTTGTGTTCTTCGGTGCTGGGTCGGGGTTTGGCGGAGCAACCTGGCTGAAAAAGTTTACCAGAGAGTCTCTATTGATCTCGCCGTCGTACGGAACAGGAGTCGCGCCATGGGAAGGGATCAGTCGAATCGCAGGAAATTCGACGACGCCATACTTCTCAGCGGTAGCCTTGTCCCGGACCTGGGCGAAGGCGATGCTGCCGAGGAAATCGATGGCCAAACTCTTGACCAAGGGACTGGTTGTACCTTTATCCGTGAATACAAGAGCTTTTGCCGGAACATCTTCGGCGTTCAACCACTTGTCCAACGTGTCACCCGACAGTCTTTTGACATGATTTGGAATTTTGTCCTTGACCGCATCCACAATGCCCTTTGTAGACCTGGGACCCATATAGTCCTCGACAATAGGACGACCTGGCTTTGAACCCGGTCTGACGAGCTTTAGCGTTGGAAAGCCTTGAATACCCATCTGACCACAGAAAGGCTTGTTGGCATCATCATCGCAGTCGACGGCCGCGACCTTGGCTAGGCCAGCTAGGTTCTTTGCCGCCTTCTCGTATGCAGGTTTGAGGTTTTGGCAATGGCCACACCATGGGGCGTAGAACTCGACAATCTGACAATGAGGGTCAATCAGCTGAGCTTCGGCCAGTGGAATGGGAGGCAAGGGCGGGGGATTCGTACAGAGGTATGGTTGGATTGTGCAATCAGAGAGTCGTATGTCTTTGCTGTGACTTGAAGCACAGGAGATGACTTGCTGTAAAGAGCATGTACGTTGATCAGGCAGGTCAACGCGAGGACCAGCAACGTGAGCGGCGTTGGCGTAGGCATTTCGGGAGGTGCTGGAAGGCAAAAGAGAGCGCGCTAGTGTATCTCACGGAACCAGGTGGTGGTGTAGAAACCTGTGTCCCATAGATGAGGGCATTGAGGTGATTGTAGGATATTGTGAGGTGAAAAGTGGTTGCGAACACTCTGGCATAAAGTGAAAAAAGCGCAGGGCAGCGTAGGACAAGCAAGGGCAGCGATGACGGTTTTGCCGCTCCCCTCACCTCAGTTCACCCTGCTTGCCTCGCTTCAGCACTAGTCACCAGCATTTGGCCCAAGTTCTGAAAATATGTACTCAGTAGTCCATGTTGTGGGATGAAGCGCATCATCATTCTCTAACCTTTTGGGAGAAAGGTCGACGTACGCTGTCACTAAACTTTTTTTTCGTCCTCCGTACCCTACGAATTGAGGTGTCCCTAGTTACTCTCCGGGCCCCATTCTGGCTACTCGATCCTGTGCCCGAGGCAAATCACAATCTCCCTGGCCTCGTGCGCTTCCGATTGTCCTCACCTGCCTACGAGATGCCGGACCTTTTCTTAGGCCCGATGTCCGCTGCGTGCCGCCGTGGGTATGCCAACCTTAGGTTTCGGTATACTGTTGAACATCCACAGATAGGGCAAACTGGACTTCGGAATCCGGAAGATCAAGAGGGCACAGCCTTGATGACGCCAAGTAGTCGGTACATGGTGTAGCTACAAGTGCGAGTCTGTGAGGAGCAAAGAGATGGACCCCAAGAAACAGTATGGGCCTTGTACGAGAAGGGTCATCCAAAAGAGTCCCCATAGGCTATCTAGTAGCCCTAGAAACCCTAGGAGCCTGAGGAGCGTTAGGGGCCATCTCAGACCAGCCTAGGTAGGCATGAATATGTAATAATTCTAGGCCCTGGCACCAACTGGTCCACTGGTAGTGCCGCTTGTCTACTGGCCCACTGGCCCCCCTTGCAGCGTCCCGCTTCCTCCATCCTCCTGGGGATCCCCATTTCGTTAGAACCTGGCGCAATGCCCAGCATCAACTCGATTTGCTCTGGCCATGTCGATGTTACGGTACCAATCTGTACGGGGGTGTTGGCATTGATTCAAAATCCCGAAACCTGGCAACTTGGCTTCGCACATCAGACACCCTGTGGGCTTTGAGAAGAAATCTATGGCCTATATTCTCAGCCCAATGAATTAAAGAGGAATTACACTGTACGAGGTCTTGGAGATGTGTAAGCATGCATCATCTGGCATCGATTGTGTTCGCTTGATCGAAACCCCATTTGCACCCAGGTACATGTGTAGGGAGAGTCGTGGGTCCCCCAGGGTTCCTCTCTCTCTCTTCCTTGTTCCCTGTCCGGCACATCCTCCTCCATCGGTCATCAAGCCCCGAGTATCGAGGAGGGATAGGTCGATGCACAGAGCCAGTCGAGACGACAAAGGATTCGCAAATCCCGAAGCTTAAACACGATGAGGGTAAGTCAAAGAAAGGAATATGGCAGTACAGAGTGAAAAACCATGTCTTTTGCCATCATCTACAAGAGCAATCTTTACAGCCCAAAGAGGACAACGGGTAGCGGATACACAAGCCAAAAGTAGCCAAAAGCACCTGGAAGATCAGATCGGCAACTCCCCCAGGGTTTCTGTTGGTTATTAGTCGCGCCAGGCGATAGCGAGTGACTAGTGGGTTCACTGGCACTCAAGGGCCTCTGTGCCCCCTCCCTCCAGTTGCCCCCCGGTGCCGACCAACTCCTGATCGAGTACAAGTACCTCGCACCCTAGGTGTCTGGGTAGCTAGGTAGGGCTCATGGGTGGCACTTGGGTGGCACTTCGGTGGCTCTAGGTGACTCTGGGTCGCTTTGGTGGCTCTAATTGTAATTATTATTGCACTAGCCCGACAGGCACAAGGCACAATTCATTCTGTTGAACTGCGGAACTTCCCTTTCCACCTCTCCCACCTCTGCAACCTCTGACCAACAAGTTATATCGTCGCGTCCGTGCACTCGGTGTCCATTTCTCCCCTTCTTGCAACTCTTCGACAACTTCCTCGACATCCTGCTATGGCACTATGGCTCAAGGGCGCGCGAAACGACCACATCAGAAGGTGAAAACGGGGTGTATGACCTGTAGGGTATGTAGACCCCAATTTCGCCTTACCGGACGATGCGTGGTTCACCACTTCGGCTCCCACCGACTGATACTGGGTGGTCTTGATGATATTCTAACTCTTCTGGTGCAAACAGAAACGTCGAATAAAATGTGACGAGGGGAAACCTGCCTGTCGACAATGTACCGACTCTTTGCGCAAATGCGAAGGCTATCAACCTCCGCAGACATGGTTGTTCAAACCTCGAAAGGCGTCTGAAGTCAAAGAAGACACCACCACCACCAACAACAAGAACAACACAACATCCATGGCCATTGTTCAATTTATTTCTCCTCTTACACCTATTGGCGATTCCGAGGATAGACGTTCTTTTCAATTTTGGGTCGAACAAGCCGCTCCCATCTTTTCCTCTTACTTTGGTACGTCCCCATTACCGCTAGTCTTGCTTTGAGACTCATTTCTATCACCAGGTCACTCTTTCTGGGCTGAGCTGTTACCAAAAATTGGTGTTGCTCAACCTGCTGTCAAGCACATGCTGCTTGCTACCTCATCTGTCGTCGAGGCGTCCGCCCTTGCAGGTGTCCCTCTCGAAAAGAACTCGGTGTATCAGACCCATTACACCAAGGCTATCCAAGCCACCTGCTCGTCTCCCCAGATCGAGAGCGTTTTGATGGCTTGTCTTTTATTCGCCTGTTGCGAATTCATGAAAGGTTCAGTCCTACCTGGACTACGGCATATACAGGCTGGCCTGAACATTATCGATGAATGGGTCAAATCTACCCGAACTTCAGACTTCCAGCTTTCGTCTGGCGCAAAGCTGATCATTCAAGCCATAGCCCCCATCTTTCTAGCCTACATTGACAAAGCACCCACATACGGCATGGCCGATCTTCCCATCAACGAGTGCGCCTGTACCACGCTCATCAACAGCAGCGCGGAATTGCCGTGGGTCGACCATTTCACCATCATCCACAGAGCCCATCATGCCTTGGATGGTATTGGCCACCATATTGCAAGAATGATGGACTACAGAAGATCTCAGTGGAGACCATCCCCACCAGATCAAGTGGAAATGTTGCTGGAGTCCTGGCGGACGCACTTTGAAACGTTCGAGTCGAGTCGGAACGATGCTCAGAGGCAACGATACGGTCTGGCCCTGCAGCTGCTCCGAGTTCACTACACCATGCTGTTGGTGATGCTTCGAGTGTCGTCGAGCAAGCAGGAGAGCGTCTACGAACAATACACGGAGGAATTCAAGTGGATTGTGGACAAGTACGACGCTTTTGCCGAGATTTGGGCCAGGGACGAGTCGACCAAGTTCTTCTCCGGACTGGGAAATCTCGAGTACCACATGGGATATATTCCCCCTCTATTTCTCACGGCTACCAAATGCCGGGATCCAGGCACCCGTCTGGCGGCCTTGAAACACCTCAACGGTCTGCGTGTGGTTGAGAACAACTGGACCAGTTGCACGGCATACTTGATTGCCAGGAAGATTATCAAGATTGAAAACACTCGGTCTATCAATAACAAACGGGCTGGTCTCAAAGATGAGCGCGACCTCATCCGGCCGGTGGAAGCATTCATCACCGACAAACGAAGTACACAAGCAGGTCTCAACTACCTGGCGTTCCCCTATGATTCGAGTCCGACTTTGCAGGATACCTTGGATCTACAGAGTTGTCCCTTCGGCCCCTCGGCGCAGTGGGTAAGTACATTGCTTCCAATCTTTAGTGGCTCCAAACTAAATGACCTGTAGCCATTGTGCAGAATCATCCGCATCGGAGGATTTCAAGGAGGAGGTGTCAGACCCCTCTCTACAGGGTGCACCTGTGGGATTGCGCCGTCGAAGGATGCCTTGATCTTCCGACCCAAGACAAAAGTGTGAATAGGTATATCTTTTGAATTGTTCAACAATATTTTAAAGGCAAAGGCTTGCGAAAGCTAGCGTTCTTTCGCGGACCTCTTGCGCGACGGACCAACCACTTCTCAGCTACAGGCAGCCGAGATGTGTGGAACATGGCCTGCTGCGCCCCTAACATTCGCCTTCGAAGATGCGTCGCCACGCACTATCAGATCAGTTGTTGGCTGGGGGGCAGAACGCTGAACTTCCGGTCGATTCCATTATTGGTGGTCCGAGATGTAAATGGGATATTCTATTCCAAGTCTAAGACACACAGTCCTTACCGCCTGAGATTGACATGCATTGGCAAGCCTGTGGGTGGCCTGGCGAGCGTGGGCTACAAAGGACACGGCATAAACGCTTTACCGAGGTTCCTGCTCCCTCCACACAACAACCCTGAATTGCCTCTGAACCCCCTTTCGTATAGAGATTGGGCAAGTAGACCTCAAATTGGTCTTTGGTCTTTTGGGTGGAACCGCGAATCCGCGATTACTTCGGCAGCGAGAGGCAGTGAAACCACTCGGTAAGGAGGCAGGGGGTGTGATGTGGAGAGACATGGAGGCGGTGATATGTGAGCCTGCAAAGGCAAGATAGGGCAAGAGGGCGCAGGGCCTCGTCACGCTGGGGATGGTCGGTTGAAACCGGATATCGGGGGTATCAGGGGGGTGAAGATGATGAGATAATATGGACAGAGGCAGTGAGAGAGACAACAAGGGACAGGCATGGGCATCCTTCCCGTCGCCAGGGTATAGGCAGAAGCAGGGATGTTTCTGGCCTTGTGATCTGCGATCTGTGACCTTTGGCCAATATGTTCTGGGGACAAGTACAAGAGTACATGTGAAAGGCCACCACATAAATCTTTGTGGGAGAGCGAAGAGCGAAGAGTGGCTGTATAAGACGATGATTATGTCGTAATCACTTTAAATTCCCCCACGGTATCGAGTGTACTACCAGTAGTAGTAGACATTCAGTCCCAGCCCGGTCTTGTCCTGTCCTTGAGAACGGTCATCTCGCTCGATCCGCTCGATATGCTGGCTGGTTGGCTGGCTTGGATGGTGGTGGTAGAGTGAGATGACCACTTTCCTTCGCGAACCAACCAACCAACCAATCAATCAATCACCAATCCATAGACAGGCAGGACAAGATACAGATGACAGATGACAGATGACAGATGAAAAGGTCAAGACAAGACAAGGAGAAGGAAAAGAAAAAGGATCAGGTCAAGGATGTCGATCCCAACGCGAGTGACTGCCCGTCTGGACGTAGTCGAGAAACATCACCAGCACCAAGACAAGCACCGGGGGGGGTTGTGATGATGAGGGATCCTTGGATCGACGGATCGATGGCTGGATAGTTGGGTGGGAGAGAGAGGGATGATCTGATATTCAACCCTGCAAGAAATGAGAACTCACCTACTACGTAGTAGTAATAGTAGTAGCCATGTGCCCTGTCGTGATGGTGGTACTGCTCCCTCTCCCCTACTCTCTATTCTGCTGTCATTCTTGTCCTTGTCCTCGTGACTTGGTAGAAGATAGGGCTCCCCCCTTTTTTTTTCCCGTGACAGTGGTTCGGAGCATGCCGACAGACAATCTATTTCACTTCTGTTCAAGAGGGTTTGGTTTTGTCAATGTTGACAACGATGATGACAGATTTACGGGGGGTTGATGACAGAGACAGAGACAGCGACGGAGACGGGGGCGGTGGCGGCGGCGGCGGCGGCGATCAAGTGACACTATCGACTATCGACTAGTTATCCAGTACGAGGTACTCCGTGCCGGGTAGTCATTGTTTGTCACAAGATGAGGTCAACTCTTCGACCTGGATCTAGACCTTGAACACGGCCCTGGACCTGGACCTGGACATTGATCGATGCCAACGCCGAGATGTTAGGACCCGGAAAAGGGGGGTTTTTGCCATATACACACACATACTGAGTACCCGACACAGACATAGGTATGTACTGGTGAAACACATTCTGAGCATACGAGGTACTCTGTACTTCTCCTCCACACTTTACTCGAATTACCTTTTGAGTATTACGATTCATTGGATAAAACCTAAGGTATGCACATAGACACCCTGGCAGTGATGTACCCATTACCTAGTCACCAGGTATCCCGTATCAGGCATGTCCCGAGTCAAGTATCAAACTGGAACTTTTGTTTCCCTTCCCCCGGAGAATTTACTCCAGCAGAATAGTGCCGCTACGAAAAACGACTCGTCTCCCCCCCCCCCCCCCCCCCCTTTTCCGCTTCCCCTTCCTCGTCCTGCCTCGTATCTCAGTCGCCCCTAGCGGGTGACTAGGCAAGCTAGGGTGACTCGTAGGATGTTTGAGTTGCTAGGAAAGAGGGGGGTCTGCAAAAGGTACGAGGTAAATGAATGCCTATTTGGACCTACGTCGGACAGTTAGTACGCGGTAGGGCTGACGGGGTCGTAGGGCTAGTTTTGAGGCCAGGCAGAGGCACGTTTGCTTTGATGTACCTAGTGCCACACTGCCAGGGGGGGGGGGGGGCATTTGGATAGTCAAGGCACTGGCATTGGTGCAGATACAGGGACGAGGTACAGATACCAAGTACACAGACAGGCACAGGGTGACAGGCACCTACAGGTGACAGACGGTAGATGTCAGATGATGGGGCAGTACATATACAGAACTCTGAGTACTCTGCACTACTGTTGTGAGTAGTACGTGGGAAATAGCGGTCCGCGCGCCAAGGCACCACCTACAAGTACATTGGCAATCTAACCTACCGAGTACCCGCCGGGATATGTAATACTCCCTTGTCCGGTACTCAGTACTCAGTACTCAGGAATTAGAGTGGACACAAGGTTCAAAAAGGGAAAGAGCTCTAACCTTTTCGATACTCCGCACTCTGCAGGTTGTCAGTACTCAGTACCGAGTACTCAGCACCCGTACCGGTAGGTAACTAGGTATTATGCGCCAGCTAATTACTCGCATCAATCTACATTACTCCATGCCCTCCATGCCTTCTCTATCCCTACAAGGTACTGGGTACATAGGTAGATACGTGCGCGACACCGGCGCCAGTGCCAGTGCCAGTATTGGCGCCTTACAGGGCCACATCCCACATCCCACAGCTGCGGCGCCACGGCGCCACGGCGACACGGCCCACGGGGGAGGGTGAATTACGAATACCGAGTACTTGTCCCCATAGTGTGTGTGTGTGTGTGAGTGAGCCTTGTACCGAAGGGGGCAAAGGTTCAGTGAATCCCTGATTGGTTGGGTGGTTAGCGAGAGACGACAGACAGGACCAAAGAGCAAAGGACCAAAGGATGGAGTAGATAGCTATCGTGCTACGAACAACGAGCAGAGTTACAGAGTATGCACCTCGACCAGGTAGGTAGGTACAATTACTCGGCACAATTACAATCAGGTAGGTAGGTAGGTAGATCCCTCCGATTCTTCACTTCTTACAAACATCCTCACGCGTACCGAATAATGACCTCGAGTATTATCAAGCACTGGCAAACATTCAAGACGCTCGTAAGACGAATGGGACTCCGATCAAACACAACGGGACCACGCCGACGCCGACATCCACCACCAAGACAAGAAGTCACTGTGAAGAGGACACACGCCACAAAGGACTCGATGTAGGACTCGTCGGTGCATCGCATCGTTGCATGTGAACGCACACGGGGGATACGTCCAGATACGGCAGCGGCCCTCATATTGACCCCCAGAAACATTGGGGTATTTCCGCTTCCCCTTGCCCTGTATGTACATAATAGGACATGCAAGTAGTAGTATGAAGTTGGTACTTGACTTAGATGACAGAGACATCCAGGAGAAGCACCAAACGGGACGAGGCGAGCGGGAGCATCACATCCCAGTAAGGAGACAACCTGGGACGCAAGGGACAGCAGGGACAGTAAGAACAACCGGAAGCGCCGTCAACGATGGGTGTCTTCCTTACGCTTCGCTTCTCAGATTTGTTCCAGAATGATGTGAAACCTAGGGTCCAAACTACACCTTTGTCGCACACAGAGCGGCATCAACGGTCGTGCCAACCTCATTGGGGCAGGTGGAAATAAGGCCGAGAAGGAAGCCAAAAGCTTGTCTTGTCTATCCCTGCATCTTGCTTTCGACTACCACGGTCAATCCCGGTAGAAAAGTACATGGTTAAATGGGATTTCACAACCCTGCAGTGGCGTAGCTGCAGAGTATCATTCTGGAGCCATGCCACCGAGATTTATCACACGTCGCAGCTTGTGCCATCGTCGAGGGAAACAGACCAAAAGAGGCAGAATGTCGGTAACCTGCAAAGTCATCATGATCGCGATGCCCCAACGACCTGGAAATAGTCCTGGAACCCTAGCGAGGGGTACTGTCTCCACCAAACAAGGGAAATCCATGCCACTGATTCGGAATATGTCCGGATAATCATCAAAAGAAGGCGGGGGCGGGAACGTCTCTTGAAACCTCAGAAGTCGGCATACTCTGAAAGATTGGAAGTCCAAACTTGCCAAATACCTGTGGGGAGACGCAATCTGGACACCTCTAGGGCGGCAAATGGGGTTATTGCCCTGTCGAGAAAATATTGCGAGAGGACAGCCTTGGACAGCCTAACCAGGAAAATCCGCTTGCACCAATGCTTTCCCCTATTGGGATCAAGGTGGGCCGTTGCTCCGGGTTCGTCTCTCAAGGGAACCCCAAGTCCAGAGCTCCGAACCAAAATCAGATCGCCAGTGAGAATGGAAATCCCATGTGAGTGGGGGCAGCGACAGCATCAAAGAATGGTGCGAGCAGGCGGTCATGTGCCTTGTCGCCCTATGACTGTACACCGCCATCCACGCTTCCGCTCCCTATGTAAATTGCTCCTTTTCCGCTCAATCGAGACGGTGTGCAATCTCAGCTTGCCCATCGCATTCCACAATGGTATAGGCGACGCCCAACACCTTCAAGGTGCCGCTGATCACGAAAGCACGGAGTTCCCCTTACCTCTTCCTCGAGGGCGATGAAC